TTAAATAAGTAAAGTTTTTTCCAAAAGCACAAAAATAATGAAGCTAAATCCCATAAAAGAGAAGAAAAAATGTTGAATTTTAAGAAAATCGGATTTTTGAATTTTTTCGAATTTTTGATAATTTTAGATTTTTTACCAAAGAGTCGAGACTATTAAATATGTAAAGTATTTTCCAAAAGCACAAAAATAATAAATCTTAATCCCATAAAAGAGAAGAAAAAATGTTGAATTTTAAGAAAAACGGATTTTTGAAATTTTTCGAATTTTTGATAATTTTAGATTTTTTACCAAAGAGTCGAGACTATTAAATAAGTAAAGTTTTTTCCAAAAGCACAAAAATAATGAAGCTAAATCCTATAAAAGAGAGGAAAAAATGTTGAATTTTAAAAAATTCGGATTTTTGAATTTTTGATAATTTTCGATAATTTTAGATTTTTTACCAAAGAGTCGAGACTATTAAATATGTAAAAAATTTTCCATAAGCACAAAAATAATGAAGCTAAATCCTTTAAAAGAGAGGAAAAAATGTTGAATTTTAAGAAAATCAGATTTTTGAATTTTTTCGAATTTTTGATAATTTTAGATTTTTTACCAAAGAGTCGAGACTATTAAATATGTAAAGTATTTTCCAAAAGCACAAAAATAATAAAGCTAAATCCCATAAAAGAAAAGAAAAAATGTTGAATTTTAAGAAAATCGGATTTTTGAATTTTTTCGAATTTTTGATAATTTTAGATTTTTTACCAAAGAGTCGAGACTATTAAAAATGTAAAGTATTTTCCAAAAGCACAAAAATAATAAATCTAAATCCCATAAAAGAGAAGAAAAAATGTTGAATTTTAAGAAAAACGGATTTTTGAAATTTTTCGAATTTTTGATAATTTTAGATTTTTTACCAAAAAATCGAGACTATTAAAAATGTAAAGTATTTTCCAAAAGCACAAAAATAATGAAGCTAAATCCTATAAAAGAGAGGAAAAAATGGTGAATTTTAAAAAATTCGGATTTTTGAATTTTTGATAATTTTCGATAATTTTAGATTTTTTACCAAAGATCGAGACTATTAAATAAGTAAAGTTTTTTCCAAAAGCACAAAAATAATGAAGCTAAATCCCATAAAAGAGAAGAAAGAATGTTGAATTTTAAAAAAATCAAATTTTTGAATTTTTTCGAATTTTTGATAATTTTAGATTTCTTACCAAAGAGTCGAGAGTATTAAATAAGTAAAGTATTTTCCAAAAGCACAAAAATAATGAAGCTAAATCCTATAAAAGAGAGGAAAAAATGTTGAATTTTAAGAAAAACGGATTTTTGAATTTTTGACAATTTTCGATAATTTTAGATTTTTTACCAAAGAGTCGAGACTATTAAATAAGTAAAGTTTTTTCCAAAAGCACAAAAATAATGAAGCTAAATCCCATAAAAGAGAAGAAAAAATGTTGAATTTTAAGAAAATCGGATTTTTGAATTTTTTCGAATTTTTGATAATTTTAGATTTCTTACCAAAGAGTCGAGAGTATTAAATACGTAAAGTATTTTCCAAAAGCACAAAAATAATGAAGCTAAATCCTATAAAAGAGAGGAAAAAATGTTGAATTTTAAGAAATTCGGATTTTTGAATTTTTTCGAATTTTTGATAATTTTAGATTTTTTATCCAAAGAGTCGAGACTATTAAATATGTAAAGTATTTTCCAAAAGCACAAAAATAATAAATCTAAATCCCATAAAAGAGAAGAAAAAATGTTGAATTTTAAGAAAAACGGATTTTTGAAATTTTTCGAATTTTTGATAATTTTAGATTTTTTACCAAAGAATCGAGACTATTAAAAATGTAAAGTATTTTCCAAAAGCACAAAAATAATAAATTTAAATCCCATAAAAGAAAAGAAAAAATGTTGAATTTTAAAAAATTCGGATTTTTGAATTTTTGATAATTTTCGATAATTTTAGATTTTTTACCAAAGAGTCGAGACTATTAAATAAGTAAAGTTTTTTCCAAAAGCACAAAAATAATGAAGCTAAATCCCATAAAAGAGAAGAAAGAATGTTAAATTTTAAGAAAATCAAATTTTTGAATTTTTTCGAATTTTTGATAATTTTAGATTTCTTACCAAAGAGTCGAGACTATTAAATAAGTAAAGTATTTTCCAAAAGCACAAAAATAATGAAGCTAAATCCTATAAAAGAGAGGAAAAAATGTTGAATTTTAAAAAATTCGGATTTTTGAATTTTTGATAATTTTCGATAATTTTAGATTTTTTACCAAAGAGTCGAGACTATTAAATAAGTAAAGTTTTTTCCAAAAGCACAAAAATAATAAATCTAAATCCCATAAAAGAGAAGAAAAAATGTTGAATTTTAAGAAAAACGGATTTTTGAAAACTTTTGGAATTTTTGATAATTTTAGATTTTTTACCAAAGAGTCGAGACTATTAAAAATGTAAAGTGTTTTCCAAAAGCACAAAAATAATAAATCTAAATCCCATAAAAGAGAAGAAAAAATGTTGAATTTTAAGAAAAACGGATTTTTGAAATTTTTCGAATTTTTGATAATTTTAGATTTTTTACCAAAGAGTCGAGACTATTAAAAATGTAAAGTATTTTCCAAAAGCACAAAAATAATAAATTTAAATCCCATAAAAGAGAAGAAAAAATGTTGAATTTTAAAAAATTCGGATTTTTGAATTTTTGATAATTTTCGATAATTTTAGATTTTTTACCAAAGAGTCGAGACTATTAAATAAGTAAAGTTTTTTCCAAAAGCACAAAAATAATAAATTTAAATCCCATAAAAGAGAAGAAAAAATGTTGAATTTTAAAAAATTCGGATTTTTGAATTTTTAATAATTTTCGATAATTTTAGATTTTTTACCAAAGAGTCGAGACTATTAAATAAGTAAAGTTTTTTCCAAAAGCACAAAAATAATGAAGCTAAATCCCATAAAAGAGAAGAAAAAATGTTGAATTTTAGGAAAATCAAATTTTTGAATTTTTTCGAATTTTTGATAATTTTAGATTTCTTACCAAAGAGTCGAGAGTATTAAATAAGTAAAGTATTTTCCAAAAGCACAAAAATAATGAAGCTAAATCCCATAAAAGAGAAGAAAAAATGTTGAATTTTAAAAAATTCGGATTTTTGAATTTTTGATAATTTTCGATAATTTTAGATTTTTTACCAAAGAGTCGAGACTATTAAATAAGTAAAGTTTTTTCCAAAAGCACAAAAATAATGAAGCTAAATTCCATAAAAGAGAAGAAAAAATGTTGAATTTTAAGAAAATCGGATTTTTGAATTTTTGATAATTTTGGATAATTTTAGATTTTTTACCAAAGAGTCGAGACTATTTAATAAGTATAGTATTTTCCAAAAGCACAAAAATAATGAAGCTAAATCCTATAAAAGAGAGGAAAAAATGTTGAATTTTAAAAAATTCGGATTTTTCAATTTTTGATAATTTTCATTAATTTTAGATTTTTAACCAAAGAGTCGAGACAATTTAATAAGTAAAGTATTTTCCAAAAGCACAAAAATAATGAAGCTAAATCCTATAAAAGAGAGGAAAAAATGTTGAATTTTAAAAATTTCGGATTTTTCAATTTTTGATAATTTTTATTAATTTTAGATTTTTTACCAAAGAGTCGAGACAATTTAATAAGTAAAGTATTTTCCACATTAAAAAGTTTGACATTAAAAAATATATAAAAAATGCCAATACTTAACCCACAAAATTAAATTTTCAAAACAAACAAATGAATGCAGATAATTTGCTAACGGAAAGGAAACTTACGATTATTATAATGTATGTATATGTATATGTATATTTCTATTTTCTATTAAAACGTATAAAAAACAAAAGAATAACTATAACTAACTTCAAGTGTGGACAGAGATCCGGAAATCTGGAATCACGACGATTATTATATATAATTTTTTAAAAGTAACGAATTTCATAAAAATTGAAATAATTTTAGGAATATCGTCCGCGAGTCGCATGATTATTTTCCAAATGTCATTTGTCCGAACTGTCATTTTACCGAATTGCATTTATCCGAACTGTTATTTTAACGAACTGTCATTTTTGCGAATCGCCATATTTACGAATTTCCACTTTTGCGAAAAGTCATTTTTGCGAAATATCATTTTTGCAAATTGTCATTTATGCAAATCGTTATTGTTCCGAAATGTCATTTTTTCGAATTGTCATTTTTACGAAATGTCACTTTTGTGAATCGACATTTTTATGAATTGCCACTTTTGCGAAAAGTTATTTTTTCGAATTGTCATTTATGCGAACTGACATTTTTTCGAATTGTCGTTTTTACGAAATGTAATTTTTGCGAATTGCCATTTTTACGGTCACTTATGCAAAAATTCGCAAAAATGACATTTCGTAAAAACGACAATTCGAAAAAATGGCAGTTCGCATAAATGACAATTCGAAAAAATAATTTTTCGGAAAATTGACAATTCGTAAAAATGTCGATTCACAAAAGTGACATTTCGTAAAAAATGACAATTCGAAAAAATGACATTTCGGAACAATAACGATTCGTAAATATGACAATTCGTAAAAATGATATTTCGCAAAAATGACTTTTAGCAAAAGTGGCAATTCGTAAAAATAACACTTCGAATAAATGCAATTCGGTCAAATGACATTTGAGGAATAATCATGCGCCTCATAGTCCGCCATATTGGATCCGCCATTTTAAATTTTCAAAAACGCCACTCGGCATTTAAAAATTTTATTTTTTGCCTAAATTTTAAGCCTATGTCCGGAAATAATAAATAATAAAAACCCGGATCTAAGATAGGGTGAGGAAAAATTATATGAATCAAGGTAAAGAGTGAGACTGAAGTTAAAAGTGAAGGTGAAGTGATAAGGAGAAGACTGGTTGATACTTCTAAGTTATTACAAGGATTTAGCACTAATATAAAGCCAGTTTTAATTAACTTTATCAATCATTTTATTTATAATTACATTTCTTTAACATGCTGACTATAAGTAAAAAACTTTTTCTCGAAAAAGAACATAGTTCCATTGCATTTTTTTATTATTATTTTACAAAAAACTTAACTTTAAAATAATATTTAGCAGACGGTAAACGTTTGATTTCGATTTATAATTGAATCGCTCATTTTACCTCTGCAGTCATCAAAATATGTATTTATGATGTGGGTGTTCTTCTAAATTACACGCTTAGTTCCACTGCAAACTCGGTGGATTGCATTAAATTGTAGTTTATTGTTAGTTTTGCACCTTCTTGCAAAATAAGGTAAAGGATATTTCGTGTTAGGTATAAATTGTTTTAGCACAAGGGCGGATGCATCCTACTCTCTCAATCTGAACCAGAGACTGCTTTTGATTCGGAGAGTAGAGAAACGTAATATGCTTACTGTTAGCCTAAAAGGAACCACATTGGTACGCTGTCTTTTACGAACTCTTTACCTTCCCTTAGAGATCTTTCAATACTCATTTTCCAATTATCTAAATTTATTTAGCAACCATTATAAGTAAATTTTTTATATCTTTCGTTGAATATTCATAATCACAACTATAAACACATCGTAAATCTTTTATTACAAGCAATACTTAGGTCAGAAATGTTTACAATATATTAATAATTAACATTATTACATAATTTAAAGTGAAAGACAACAACTTAGCCTGTTAGATTGGATTGTAGTCAAATGAAAACAGATTCTGATTCATTTATATTGACAAATATTAATATTTCTAGGAAAATATATTGCTCCAAAAATTGCTGTTATTAACACTTGTCTAGTGTCACACTTGTCAACAGGATTGACACACTTGGTCTTGACATTTTCATATTTTTCATATTTCATTTTAAGCGACTTCAATTCCAGACTAATTACTTGTTCGTTTCGTTATTCGGTTTTGTAAAAATCTTTGGATTCATGTCCAAACTTGTTAGTGAATTACTTTAGAGAATTGCGTCAACAGCTTTCGAAAAAATGCTGGCGTACAAATGTTTGGTCTCGAAAAGTTTGATTTTCATATTTCATTGAAAATGATCCAGTGTATCATTATGGAAGATTATAAAGAATATTTTAAGAAATAATACTTTATGGTATTTTTTATGTGTGAGCTGACTACAAATTATTTTCCTCGGTAAATTTCAATAATTCTGTCTTGATCCACATATTCGAAAATATGAGGAGCATTCATTAAAATACTAACTGTGCCAACAGTTGTTACGATGAAAAAAATATACAACTGCAAACGATCAATCACCATCGCAACGTATTTCCAATCTTCTCTTGTCTGAAAAGGAAAATATTTCTTTCAGTATTGCTTCAATTTATCAAATTTCTAATATCAATATCTCAATAGGGCTAAATTTAGATACTATTTTTTGGCTTAAAAACTATGATAGATGTTGGCGGTGTTGTTTTGAGTCTAATTACGGTTTTACGCGAATGAAAAGTAAAATTACTAAAAAAATGGTATGTAAATTAAATCACTCAAACACCCCCAAAATTTCATTTAAGAGCTAAAAAACAGTTTTTTAAAAATAAATGCATAAAATAGCTTGTAATTTTGTCATTTTTGGTCCAAGCTCAATGATTCTTTTCCAGTTTAAAGCTGAAAAATGTGTTTTTATTCATAACACGTGTGTTCTTCGCAAAAATTCAATTATGTTCAAAAAATTTTTTTAAATTTCAATTATCTTCAGAAATAATTAAATTCTTCTCTGAAATTCAATTATTTTCAGAAATTTTCATAAAATTCTTGGCAAAATTTCAATAATTTAAAAAAAATTTTCCTCATTTCAATGATTTTTAATATCTACTATTTTAATAAAATTTTCCAAAATAATTCAATTATTATTTAAATACAAAAATAAATAATTTATTGAATAATTAAATGTTTCTTAAAATTCAATTTCCATAAAGAATTTTATCAACAAATTTTTAAATACCAATTGAATTCTTTCGACGAAATTTTAATAAAATTTTTAAGAATAATTACATTTTTCGAGCAATTCGATTAAAATTGTATTAAGAATAATTAAAATTCTGCGATGAGTTTTATTATTTGTGAAAATAATTGAATTCTTAAAAATAATTTTATTATTTATGAAAATAATTGAATTCTTGTATCGAATTGTATTACATTTTTTGTATATAAATATTGAATTTTATTTTTAATTATATAAAAATTTAAAAGAATAATTCTAATATTTTGAATCACTTAATTAAAATTGTATTAAAAATAATTGAATTTATCTAAATAATTGTATTATTTATAAAAACAATTGAATTTCTACGAAGAATTTATTAAAATTTGCAAATAATTGAGTTTTTTAAAATAATTGAATTCTTGCAAACGATTTTATTAGAATTTTTTAAAATTAAGGTCCTTTCAAAAAAATTCAATTATTTTTAAAAATAATTGAATTTCCAAGAAAAATTTAATTATTTTTAAAAATAATTGAATTCTCGTGATGAGTATTGTTATTTATGAAAATAATTGAATTTTGCAAAGAATTTTATTAAAATGCCTCAAAATAATTGAATTTTCCGGAATAATTTTGTTATTTATCTTTAATAATTGAATTCTTTCAAAGAAGTATTTATGTTTAAATAATTAAATTCTGGGGAAGAATTTTATTAAAATCTAAAAAAAAATTGAATTATTTCAAAAAATTTAATTAAAATTGTATTTAAAATAATTAATTTCTTTCGAACAATTTTATGAAAATATTTGATAATAATTGAATTCCTGAAAAAAATTTTAATATTTTTGTAAATAATTGAATTCTACCAAAGAATTTAAAACAAACATTTTTTTAAATAATTGATTTTTTTGAGGAATTGAAATTAAATTTTTAAGAATAATTACATTTTTTTGAGCAATTTCTGTAAAATTGTATTAAAAATAATTGAAAGTTCTAAGATGAATTTTATTATTTATGAAAATAATTGAATAGTTACAATTTTTATTAAAATTTTCAAAAATAATTGAATTCCTGAGATGAATTTCATTATTTATGAAAATAATTGAATTATATTGCAAAAAATTTTATTAAAATGTTTAAAAATAATTGAATTTTTGTGAAAAATTTTGTTATTTTTGAAAATAATTAAATTCTTCATAAGAATTTTATAAACATTATGTTAAATAATTAATTTCTTTCAAATATAATAAATATTTTAAAAATTTTATTTTAAATAATTGAAATTTTCTATTAATTAGTTTAGAATATTGTATTAAAAATATTTCAAATTCTTTGATGAGTTTTATTATTTATGAAAATAATTGAATTCTTGCTTGGAATTTTATCAAACATTTTTTTAAAAAATTGAATATCCATGAATAATGTTATTATTAGTGAAAGTGAAATTGAATTGTATAAAAATTTTGTTAAATAATTGATTTTTTCAAAATTGTTTTGAAAATTCTATACTGAATTAATTGAATTCGCGTGGAAATTTTATTATTTATGAAAATGATTGAATTTTGGATGAATTTTATCAATTTTTTAAAAAAATAATTAAATTGTTTTGGGAAATTTGATGAGAGTACTGGATATTGAAAATAATTGAGTTTCGAATATTTTTTGACAATAATTGAATTATTTTAAAGAATTTGATTATAATTTTTGAGAAGTTTTTTTTTTTTTTTTTTTTTTTTTTTGATTTCTTGTTTTAGCTAATTGAAAGTAGTGGAAATTCTCAAAATTAAAAACAGAAATTGTGTTAAAAGGCCCTTTTCTTCTGCTTTAAAATGAAAGAAAATGATTGAGTTTGGACCAAAAATTTCAAAGTTGCAAGCTATTTTATGCATTAACTTAAAAAACGGTTTTTTATCTCAAAAATGTTTTTGGGGTGTTTAATGAGATACCAACAAATTTTTTTAGTTTCTTAAGACGAACGAGTTAGAATAGGTCCGATTTAAAGTAATTTTTGTCCGTCACTCAGTGTTATTAAATAAAATAAAAAAATATGACTCTTAACTAACCTGTATATACAAATCTTCATTTCTCAAATGTTCAGCAATAAATTCCACAGCCTCCGTCGCCTTACTTGCTTCGGGACTAAGGAGAACAGAGTCGGAACTTTCTGAGCCTCTTCTATCGCCCATTGCTTCAATACCTCCCCCAGCAGTACTGGAGCTACTGATGTGATGATTCTTCCTGTTGGCACGACAGTTGGGATGATGCAAGTCCGACAACTCCATCACCTCCATTTTCGACTTGTTCATGGAAGGCGGTAGATGCTTCGGAATTTCAGTTGGACTCCCAGAGTAGGTTGAAGTTGGCAGTGTTACATTGGGTATTTCCATCATCCACTTTAGTCTGGTCTTCTTTGGTCTCCTCATGAGCAAAATTGCTGGTAAAATTTTCAAAAATATTTTCCTGATTGACGGCGGCATTCTGTGAGTTCTGGGACCGCGGAAGTTCCAGTTGATGATAATCACAGTGACCAATATACTCACGGTATTCATGACGAATGTGAATAGTAAATATTTGGCAATGAGTGGCAGTACGAGTGAAGTGGGTGGCAGAATTTTACTGACTAAAAGTAAGAACACGACCAGCGAGAGGAGAATACTGATGCCAAGTGTGACTTTTTCACCGGCCTCGGCTGGCAGGTAGAACACGAGGACACAGAGGAAGGAAATCAACACGGTTGGCAGGATCAAGTTGACGGTGTAAAAAAGAGTTTTCCTTCGGATAATTATATAAAATGTGATGTCTGTTTCGGTTGGTTCGCTGTCGGAGTGGACGTTGAGATACGCGGGAACACTGACGATATCCCACGTGCCACTCTTCCAGTAGTCGGATAAGTCCACGAATTTCTTGTCATTGTACAGGGCCAGGGAGACTTGATCTCCATTGAATGTCCAGGAGCCGAATTTCATGATGCAAGTTTGCTGATCGAAGGGGAAGTATGTGACGTCGATGGTACATGAACTCTGATATATAGCAGGCGGCACCCACAGTACTTCGCCATTCGGATATATCAAGATGTTACTTTTGTAACGTACTTCATAATTTCCATCCGCACTGAAAAGTAAAGGATTATCATAAATTCATAACTTTTAGAAAATGTTCTCAACATACCCATTTAAACTAAGTTTTCTACAAGCTAACCCAGTGCGCAAAAACACAATTTCGTTCAAGAAAAGTTCCTAACACGTTTCATGTCCTACAAATTAACATTTTAAAAACGTTTAATGTTCTAAAAATATTTCTTAAACATCAAACATTTTTAAAATGTTAATTTGGCATACATGAGACAATTTGGAAATGTTCCTCGAACGTAAAATATTTAACTGTTCTGAGTTAAGAAAAATTGAGTACTTACTTGTTAAAAAGCACAATATCAGGTCTCCATACTTTATCAGGTGGCAATCTAAGAACGCCAATTCCACCATAATCGGATTCATCCCACTGAAGTTGATAGTCCGTCCATGTGAGTCTCAACCAAACATTAGATTTCATAATTTGGTTCTTTTCGTTCTGCAAAAAAATTACAAATTTTTAAACACATTAAAAAAGAAAAAGTTATTTTAAAAATAAAGTAAACCTGTCATCCAGCGGTCAATAAAGTGTCCATTATTGCCCTAGGGCAATAATAGACATCAATAATTTATTGACCGCTGGATAACAAGGTCGCTACAAACATTTTAATTTGTTTTTCCCTGACTTTTCCCTGATTTCCAGATAAAATTTTCACTTTTCCCCTTACACTGAAGAATATTATGATTCACTCCAAAAAAGATTAGATTCTCAAAAAAATGTTCTATTACATTTATTTACGAATTTCTTTAAATTGAAAATTATTCGAAAAACATCAATAGTTTTATTTAAAGTAAATATTTAATCATTATTATTTTTCTATCGGAATTAAGATTGTCAAAAATTTTCAAATTCAAACAAAAAAATTTCAAATTTTTGAAATTAAACAACTTATAAAAGTATTGTTATAAAACATGAAGCCATCGATTGCTTCTAGTCGAAGACTCGGAGTGATAGATTTCTTCATGTTTTATAATAATTTAAAATAATTATTTTATATTATAAGAATATTGTTATTGTAACATCTTCAAAATTATTTTCATCATTTGAATTCAAATATTATTTTCTAGAATTTTTAACCAAAATTCATCTTTAAATCAATTATCTATCATCATCATCATCATCATCAATCATCAATGTTAATAATCGTTGTATTCCGGTAATCTGTTCACAGTTTGAAGTTAGTTGTTGTTTTGCTTTTTTGTTTCTCAACTTTTTTTTAATAATTTTTCTTTTTAAATATTTTCAATTTTAAAATTAATGAACAGAGAATCATCGAATTGTTGTAAAGAATTTTATCAAAAAATTTGATAATGATAGAATTCCTTCGAAGAATATTATTTTAATTAAAACTTTTAAAAATAATTGAATTTTGTAAACAATTTCTTTCAAGTATTTAAAATAATCGTGTTCATTAAAAATTGAAATTAAACTTTAATTATTCAACTTTATTAAAATTTTAGAAAGTAATTGAATTCTTTTGAAAAATTTTATAACGAATTACCTAAGAAAAAAATTGAATTCTTTCGTGGAATTTATTTAAAAATAATTGAATTTTTGAAAAAAAAATTTAGTAGATATTTATAAATACAATTGAATTGTTTCGAAAAATTTATTAAAATTTTAGAAAATGATTGAATTTTTTAAAAAATATTAAAAATTAAGGACAAAATTGAATTTTTGCAAAGAATTTTACTCCTATTTATTAATAAAATTAAATTGTTTCGAAGGAATTTATTAAAATATTAAAAAATAATTTAAATCTTTTTGAATAGTATTTTATAACGAATTAAAAAAAATTGAATTCATTCCTAAAATTTTTTTGAAAATAATTGAATTTTTGCAAAGATTTTATAACGAATTAAGAAAAAAATTGAATTGTTTTGTGAAATTTTGTTGAAAATAATTAAATAATTGAATTTTTGCAAAGAATTCTATTCGTTCGTAAAATTTTATTAAAATTTTGTTTAAAAATAATTGAATTTTTGCAAAAAATTGTACTATTCATAAAAATAATTGAATTCTTACGAAGAATGCTATTATTTATGAAAATAATTGAATTCTTGCAAAGAACTTTATTAAAATTTGAATTTTATTAAAATTTTTTAAATTAATAATTAAAAATAATCAATTAGTAAATCAGTTAATGATTAAATTTTTTTAAAGTTTCAATCTAAAATTATTCAAAAATTAATATTTGAAAATTAAAAATTTTAGCTAAAATTCATTTTTAAATCAATTTTTATTAAAAAATTCTACGAGAATTTAATTATTTACATACTGAAATAAATAATTTATTGAAAAATTGTAATATTTCTACAAATTGAATTTTCATAAAGAATTTCATAAACTAATTTTTAAATAATTGAATTCTTTCGATGAATTTTATTAAAATTTTTAAGAATATGTTTGTATTACATTTTTCGAGATATTCGATTAACATTGTATAAAAAATAATTAAAATTCTGAGATGAGTTTGTTATTTATATAAAAATAATTGAATCCCTGTAAAAATGTAATTATTTATGAAAATAATGGAATTATTGCGAAGAAATTTATAAAAAAATTTTTAAATAATTAATTTTTTATGAAATTTTTATTATTTATGAAAATAGTTAAATATTTGCCTAGAATTTTATCAAAATTTTCTTTAAATATAATTCATTTTGGGAAAGTTTATTAAAATAGTAGATATATTGAAAATCATTGAATTGAGAAAAATTTTTGAAAATAATTAAATTTTGGAGAAGAATTTTATTATTTATAAAAATAATTGAAATTTTGACAAGAATTTAAAAAAATTTTAACACATAATTGAATTTCTGTGAAGAATTTTATTTGATTTGAAAATAAATTAATTTTTGCAATCATTTGTAACTTTTTCAAAATTCAATTTTTCTGGGGGTTTTTAACTAAAATTCTTCCATAAATCCATTCTTTCTATCTAATAATTAATTAAATATATAAATTAAAAAATTTAACTATCTAATTTCAAAAGAATTTGAATTATTAGAATTTTTCAAAAATTTAAGTTCTTTAAAATTTCTAATGAAATTCATTCAAAATTGAAATTTTATAAAATTTCAAATTGAAAGTAAACAACTAGAAAATTAGCGTTTTTCACTAATTGAGGTTTAAAAAGTATAAATTTTTCTTTTTAAAAATAATAGATCAAGAAATTTTGCAAAAATGTTTTTATAATTATATATAAATTTGCTTAAAAAAATGTTTGTTTCTCTAAAGCATTGTTCAGCATAAATCAACTCTACAGTCTTGTTTATAAACGTTTTGAACTTCAACAAAGTTTAAAAACTGACAATAGTGAATTCATTATGAATAAAACCTTTTTTTTGAAAAGATTATTTGAAGAAAAAATTGTTGAGACTGTTGTTTTTGCAAAATTTATAAAACATATATTCACGCACCTAAAATAAAAAGAAAAACATTTTTTTGTCCCAAGAGATACAAATAAATAAGAAAATATTTCTTTTAATCATTATCGAATAAAGAAATTAAAAAAGATATATTTAAATATTGACTATTCATACTTTAAGTCTTTATAAATTGAATCTTTTAAACTATCGGGAAACATTTTAATTTTTCTATTCAAAAAAAAAGAAATGCTTTTTAAAAACGTTTCCAATTAAAAAAGTTATTATTACCATTATCAAACTTAAAAATGAAATAAAACTTAATTAAATTGAATTATTAAAAACAATTACTTACCACATTGATAAGTTGTACAAATGCAAGGCCAAATCTGACAAGAACATTTTCTGTCATATTTTTAACTGGCCGTATTAATTTATTGTAGCCTCTGAATAAATCTCGAACTAATCTCTCCTCATCTTCTGAACAGAATCCTATAAATCGTACAATTTACATAAGTTTAAAAATGATTATTGAAATTAATATTTTATATACATATATTTTTTGTAAAAACAATCAATTGTTTACCAATGCAGAGTACGAGTGACAGTAACAAAAATATAAAAAATTTTTGAGAGAAATGCATCTTGACGTTTTGCTATGAATTCCGACGAAACACTGTATTAACTTCTCTCTCTCGTCCTAGAATCAATATCTGCAACCCTCGATTCAGTCAGAAAGATTCCTCCCTTGCCCAATGTTACATTACACACACTCCAATATAGGGTTTAAATAAATTTTATTTTACTATTTCCCTTAAATTTTACAAACATATAACTAAAATTTTCATTAATAATCATCCGTTTATTGATAATCCTTGTCATTTATTCTTTTTAGCTTCATATCACAAATGATCTATAATGTTCCTTAAATTGAAACTGCAGATCTCGATTTATTCCTTTCTGTACAAATGACGTATTTTAAATCGATTATTTAAATAATCTTGTATTAATAGTCTACAATAAATTAATAAATTTATACCGATTCAATTTTAATTAATTTTAATAATAGAATTTTTTTATTTGTTGTTACCATTTAATTGTTCTTTCATTACTAGAGGGGTAGTAATGTATTTTATTTATATTAATGTTAATTAAAATCTTGAAAACTTTATAATTTACAATAAATTATTCAATGAACAATAAAAATGTATTTTTACATTAAAAATATTAATAAAACATGTATATTTCAAGATCCTCGTTCCCTTAAAGATTGTTAAAATTTAAATGGGTGTGGCAATGCGAAAATTTAAAGCTAACAGTTTTAGATGTAGTTATGAAATTAATATGAAACTATTTTTCAGTTCTTTTAACTAATTTACAATAATTTTCTTCATCAATTTATAAGGAAGGAAGTTTTTTAGTTTTTATTGATTTTAAAATACAAAATAAGTCAAAATCTAAACTAAACAAATAATAATCTTATTCTTAACTTTTATACAGTAAATCGTGAGGTGTTAAAAGAACACCAGAATGGATTAAAATAATTATCATTGCTTTAATTCCACTAGGATTAAATTAACACTAAAAAGGATTAAAATAATCCATTTTGTTGTTATTTTTCATTATGAACGAAATTTTACTTCAAATCAAACACAAAGTCAACGATTTGTCAAAATTCATCGAATTTAGCTTCACCAGAGACAATAGTAACTTAGTGAGTTAGTAAGTTAATAACTTACTAACTATCTAATTTACTAACTTACCAAACAACTTAGTATGTTAGTTAGTTAGTTAGTAAGTTAGTAAGTTTTTACACTGAAAAAAAATTTATTTGATTCAAATAACCGATTAATTGTCTGTTATCAATTAAATATTTACTTGAACAAATAATATTTATGTAATTGAATTATTTAAAAAAAAATTTAATTAAATTTGTGTACAAAATAATTGATATTATTCAAATAATTTTATTAAAATATTTGAAAACAATTGAATTCCTGTGAAAAATTTTAATATTTTTGTAAATAATTGAATTCTTCCAAAGAATTTAAAAAAAAACATTTTTTTCAATAATTAATTTTTTCGAGGAATTGAAATTAAATTTTTAAGAATAATTCCATTTTTTGAGCAATTCCTGTAAAATTGCATTAAAAATAATTGAAATGCTGCCATGAATTTTATTATTTATGAAAACATTTGAATAGTTGCAAAGAATTTTCTTAAAATTTTTAAAAATTATTATTGAATTTCTGAGAAGAATATTTTATTATTTATGGAAAAAATTGAATTATTTCGAAAAATTTCACTAAAATGTTTAAAAACAATTGAATTTATGTGAAAAATTTTGTTATTTTTGAAAATAATTGAATTCTTCATCAGAATTTTATAAACATTGTTTTAATTATAATTTATTCTTTCGAAATATAATAAATATTATTGAAAATTTTATTTTAAATAATTGAATTCTTGTGGAAAATTTTATTGTTAAAAATAATTGAATTCTTGCTTAAAATTAAAACAAAAAATTTTTAAAAATAATTGAATCTCCATGAAAAATGTTATTATTAGTGAAAGTAATTGAATTATTGAGAAGAATTGTATAAAAATTTTGTTAAAATTAATTGAATTCCTGTTGATATTTTATTAATTTTTTTTTTAATTATTGAATTCGTTGAATTCTTTTTCATCAAAATTTGATGAAAATAATTGAGTTTTTAAAAAATTTTTTGCAAATAATTGTATCGTTTTAAATAATTTGATTATAATTTTTTCGAATAGTTTCTTGATTTCTAGTATTAGCGAATTTAAAGTAGTAGAAATTCTCAACGAAAAAAACAAAAATAATAGTAACTTAGTTAGTAAGTAAGTTGGTAACTTACTATCTAATTTAATTGTATTGTATTGTATTGTATAATTGTATTGTTACTAACTTAGTTACTGACTAACTTACTAACAAACTTAGTAAGTAAGTTAGTAAGGTAGTTAGTAATCCGTTGACTTGGTTTTGATTTGAAATAATATTTCATTCATACTAAAAGATAACACCAAAATGTAATAAATTATTACATTTTAGTGATTATTTCAATCATTATTTAGAAATAATGCTAAATTTGAATCAGTTAAAAATAACTGAAAAAAAATCAGGCACTAATTCAAATAGTAATATTTCTATACTGACATTTACTTAAAAATAACTGATGTTTCAGTAGATTTTTGTTAACTGATTCAATTAGCAAAGTTTAACTAATTTTTTCGTCTGATAAAAAAAATTTGTTCTTTAATATTAAATGGTATTTTTATGTTCATAAACACTAAATATAAGTGAAATTTAATAAATTTTCATAAATTTACTTAAGTTTTTCCAGATTTTCAACTATTTTTCGGGGAGAGGGGGGGGGGGAACCTGCAAGCCTGAACTTCGAATTAACGTCGATTATACATCATTATTAAAATTTGACGTAAAAGACACGCATATTTTTTCTACAGTTTAACATAACAAATTGTAAAGAGCGAGATATTTCGATTACCTTTTTCCCTCCCAGAAAAGAATATAGGTATATAAAGTAATATGTGAATGTCCCCTTTTTAATATCAGTTTTAGTATATATTTATTGATATAAAGGGTAGAATAAAATCTTCCAACAGATGCATAATTCATTTTTCAACTAGAAAAATAGATTATATTTATTTACATTTCTTCAAAATAATTTCTTGTTACAATTTTTTACATTTGTTTAACATTATAAATAATTATATCGTATTAATTTAAGCAAATATTATTCCTGTGTGCATTTATATAAGTACTTTCTTAAAAAACAATTAAAAATTATTTTATATTAATCATTTAAAATTGCAAACATTCTTTTTAATCTTTCAGTGAATAAGTAAAAAGTTTAAAAACGTCAAAAAATATAATTTCAAGATATTAAAAAATAAGGATGAGCAAATCGATAAAATACAAGAAAATACTGACAACATAATTAAAAGTTAGAAATATTTTAAAATGATATTTATAAAGAGCTGAATAAATTTAAAATTTTTGTCTAATCTAATATCTGATTTTTGAAAATAATAAAACTAATGGCTGGGCACAATAATGTTGGACATTTTGGAAGAACTCAGTATTTCGATCCAATAACCATCAGGGTCTTTAATAAAAGCGATTCCTTTCATTTTGCCATCATTGGGTTTTTTTACAAACTCTACGTTCAGCTTTTCAAATCTCTCACATGCTTTTTCTACATCTGGTACCGTTATGCCAATGTGTCCTAAATGGAAATTAAATCATTAGACATTCTGCAAGGATTAATAATCCATACAGCACGGAAAATTTCCTGAAAGTTTAAATTAACTTGACTTTAACCTTCTGAATCTTTAGAAACTTCAGAATAAGTTCGTGAAACTAGAAATAAATCTTTAAATGTCCGCAGTTTTTCAATGTTGAGTGTAAAAGTTGACTTAACATTCTATGAAAGTTTATTTTTCTTAAATTAATTTTTTAACAAAAAGAGGAAGTTTATTGAAAATTAATAAAAGTTTTAAAAAAACTTAGAAATTTTAAAAACTTTTGCGCCCAACATTAAAAAACTGTGGAAAATTAAAGATTTATTTCAAGTTTCATGAGCTTCGGGACTAAAGATTCAGAAAGTTGCAGTCAAGTTAATTTGAACTTTCAGAAAATTTTCGGTGCTGTGTGTGGAAAAGTTAAAGGTTTTAAATTACGCACCAAATCCTCTGGGCTCTGTATTTCCATTATGATAATTAAAATCAGGATCCGATTCAGTACCCCAATTACTGTAACATGCAAATAAGCCTATACTTATCGAAATGCTATTTTTAATATCATATTTTAATAATTTCCCAAAAATTCTTCTAAAATTCAATTATTTAAAATTTAAATACAAAACTCGATTTTTTCATAATAATTGTAATTATGTAAATATAATAGTTTTTTAATTTTGAAAAATTTCCAAACAATTAAAATTTGCTAAAATCTTTTAAAAATAATTGAATTTTTGAAAAATATAAATAAAAATGATCAAATTTTTGAAGAATTTTAATTTTAAACAAGACAACGATTTCTCAAAAATTTTAATAAGTCCAAAAAGTAAATTTTCATAAATTTTTATTTACATTGGTCGAAGATAATTGAATCTTAAAAAATTATTATAAAACAATTCTAATAATTAGTTTTTCAAAATATTTTAATGTAATTTTATAGAATAAGTGAATTTCTTAAAAAAAATGTTTATTTAAAAAAACTAATTAATTTTTTTTTTAATTTTAATAAAAAATTTTTAACTTGATTGTTTTCTCCAAAATGTTAAAAAGAATTCTAAAATGTTATTATTGTTTATACTCCTGCCCTATTGGCCTTACGCACTTCGACAAGAGTCCCCGAGAAATACTTTTTTTGGATTAAGCATAACCATTCTACTTTAGAAATTTTCTATATATTAACCTAATTTTGCGTCTACAGCCGACTTTATTAGGAGTACTCGCATTGCGCCTGGACCACCCGTCAATGGGTTTTCTCGCCAGAGAAGAGGGAAACTGTAGAAAACCTCTCCTGAGTACAACCGGTTTATCGACAGTCGAGTTCTAATGGTGTGTACCGGACAATAATCGACGGTGCACATCATTATACCTCGACGTCAAACCTCCCGCTCAGATTGTCTCACGTGCCGGAAAAATACCAAGCCAAGTGGGCGCGAACCAAGGATACTTATACCCTTGGTCCTTAAACGACCACCAACGCCAGGCATCTATCCGACTGAGCCAATCTGTCGGTCTAAAATGTTATTATTTTTGTATGTATTTGAATTTTTTGGAAATATGTAATTAAAAATACTGAAAATATTGAATTTTAAAAAATTAGAAGCTAAAATTTCATTAATTTTCATTTTTAAATTTACCTTTAAAGATTTTTCTTTCAAAATTTTTGATATTTCAATTATTTTCAAAATTTGCAATTAAAATTCTTCAAAAATTGATTTTCAAAAATTGTAAATAAATACTTGAAATAAATTATTTTCAATTAAATTTTACAAAATTTCAACTACTTAAAAAGGTTTTTATTATAGAAATATTTGAAAAATTTAATTATATTAAAAAATGATTCACAAAAAATTTTTGAAAAATTTGTTTATAATTATTTTTCGCATTATAAAAATCAAAATAAGATGCACTTTTTTATGTTGCCACAAAAATTTAACTTTATATTTCCGTGACTTTTCCCTGATTTCCAAACACAACTTTGACTTAATTCCCTGACCCTAAAGAATATTCTGATTCACTCTAAAAATTATTAGATACTCAAAAAAATGTTCTATTAGATTTATTTACAAATTTCTTCAAAAGTAAAATTATTCGAAAACATCAATAGTTTTATTTAAAATAAATATTCCATCATCTTTCTTTTCATTGGAATTAAGATGTTCAAAAATTTCAAATTCAAACCTTTTCAAATTAAACAATTTATAAGAATATTATTATAAAACATAAAGAAATGGATCCATTTCTTTATGTTTTATAATAATTAAAGATGACCGACTGACAAAAACATTAGTTCATTATTATAAGAATATTGTTACTGTAATTTCTTCAAAATTATTTGTATCATTTCAATTGAATTAACATTTTCTAGAATTCTTAACTAAAATTCTACTTTAAATCAATAACATCAATTATTATTCAATTAAACTTTTTCAAAAAAAAATTCATTCTACAGAATTGTTAGTTAAAAGTACGAAGAACAATAATTTAATTCTATGAGAAATCAATTATTTAAATAAAAATAAATAATATTGAATGTTTCTTAAAATTTAATTTTTACGAAGAATTGTATTAACAACTTTTGAAAATATTTAATTTCTTTTAAGGAATTTAATTAAAATTTTAATGAAATTTATTATATTAAAGAATTTTACAACAATTTTTGAAAATAATTGAAAACTTTTTGAAGAATTTTATTAAATTTTTTAAAAATAATTGAATTCCTGAGAAGAATTTAAATAATAATTTTTAAAAACAATTGAATTCATGAGAAGAATTTTATTAAAATTTTTGAAAATAAATAATTCTTGAGAAGAATTTTTAAAAAATTTTTGACAATAATTTAATTTTTGAGAAGAATTTTTCCTATCTATTTATAAAGATAATATAATTCTTGGCGAGAATTTTAAAAAAATTTTGAAAATAATTTAATTTCTGCAAAGTATTTTATTACTTTTCAAAAGAATTGGATTCTTGTGAAAAATATTGATATTTATCAAAATAATTGAATTTTGGAAAATAATTTTATTAAAATTCCTTAGAATAATTTATTTTCTGCGAGGAATTAAATGTTATTTATGAAAATATTTGAATTATTGCAACGAATTTTATTGTTTTATTGAATAATTGAATGTTTCTTAAAATTAAATTCTTTCCACAAGTTTGAATAAAATTTTTAATAATAATTGCATTTTTCAAGGAATTTATTTAAAATTGTATTAAAAATATTTGAAATTATGCGATGAAAATAATTGAATTCGTAAATGAAATTTTATTATTTATGAAAATAATTGAATCTTTTCGTAGAATTGTGTCAACAAATTTTTTCAATAATTAAATCTGTTGATAAATTTTATGAAAATAGTAAATATTTAAAAACATTGAAGTGAGAAAAACTTTTGAAAATAATTGAAATTTTGCAAAGAATTTTATTTAAATTTTTGAAAAAAAATTGAATGTTTGGCGAAAAATTTTGCTATTTTTAACAATAATTGAATTCTTGAGAAGAACTTTGATATTTATCAAAATATTTTTTTTAATTTAAAATTTTGATATTTTATTTTACTTTATTCATTCTAAATTCTTTATTAGGTATAATTTCGATTCTCATTTATTTTAGTTATGACTCCAAACTCTATGTTTTCTCTGACGTTTGATGGGTGAATTTATTTTTATTTTTTGCTGACGAGTGTTTATTTATTAATTTTTTTGGTAAGATATTATTATAATCTTTTTTTTATTTATATTTTTATAGACTCCCTGAAGAGGAAATCATTTAGATTTCAAAACTTTGGAGTAAACTAATTTTTAAAAACTATTTGTCCGAATGTTTTCGTTTTATTCTCCTTCACTATAATTACTATTTCTCGGACGTAAAAGATTGATTAATAATAAAAATAATTGAATTTTGGAAAAGAATTTCATTAAAAATCCTTAAAAAAATTGATTTAATGGGGAGAATTTTATTGGTTATCAAGATAATTAAATTCTTTTGTAGAATTACTTAAAAATTATTGAAAATAATTGATTTCCTGCGACGAAAAAAATAGGGGAAATTTTGAAAATAGGGGCCAAAATTAAAAAAAAGGGGACTTTTAGGGAAATAGGGGACAGACTGTATGTAGTTTCAACCTTTTAAACTGGATCATGGCCGCTAAAAGAACACGTGTTTATATTTTTTCTAAAGGAAACCCTTTTTTTCTTCCAAATTTATAGGTCTGAAAGGATCTTATTTACTATATTATTTTCATTTTTTTGTAACAAGAAAATGATCTTTAATATAATGAATATGGCAATAAATTATTCTCACTGTGTCAATTCAATTGTAGCCTTTCTACTGAATGTCCACTCAATACACTCCCTTTTGTCGGTGGGAATATCTTCTCCATTTTCATATCCGAGAAAATAGAGAGAAAATTTCATTTCTGGAAAATCGAGTTTCTGTAACAGTCTGAAGCCCAGAACTTGGGTGTAAAATGGTAGTGATTTTTGAGGGTCTTTTATTCTGAACATGGTTTGTTGCATAATGTAATCTTTCGTTTCAGGTTCCGGCTCCTTGCAAAGCTCTCGAGCCATTCTGTCTGTTAAACCTGATGCCTCTCCCATCTAAAAAAAAAGTATTTTTTCACATTAACCTAAAAGCACATTTGTCATAGATTCAAACGTTCATAACGTAAGACAATTAACGTTTGTTAAATATTAATTAAAGAGCATGATTTTTAATTTATGAATATCTGAAAATAGGAGACGTAACTAAAGGTGTTGAATCTTGAAAATAAAATTAAGATACACACAAATAGTGCCTTACAAATTGAAGAAAATATTATGCTTGTTCAATAAAAAAAGGTACTTAATTTATAATAACAGAGCAGTACATTTATAGGTTATATTACACTGTTTTTATGAACATTTAAGAGGACAAGAATTTTGAATAAAAATTAGTAAATCAAAAAAGTTGGGTAAATTTAGGATGAATCTACTATTCTTTACCTTGTATTTGATTTGTTTTTGAATTTAAAATGAAATATTCAGTCAATTTTTATAAGCAGACTTCGAGTTCATGAAACTCGAAGTAGAGTTGGAGAAAAACACGTCGGTTTCTGACTTGCTCTACGGCTCTACGTATACGTAAAATAAATATCAACGTGTAGATAATTGTAAAAGATGTGCAGCTCTCTGCAGTATACATTTTATGGAGCGTCTACAATATCTACAAAAGGCTCGAACAAAATGCGGTTTACGTTACGTTGTGTACTGAGCATCAAAAAGAAACGGCGCTTACGTACTTCGAGACGTCTTATTTTGGCCTAAATTCTAAGGCCGCAGTCCCATGGCAGCGTTTTGCGTTGCGTTGTAATGAGAGAGAATGCAGCAAGCAAACGTATATTTGCGTCTTTTTCTCTCCCATTACGACGCAACGCAAAACGCTGTCATGGGACTCCACCCTTAAACCTGCCTCTACAGTCGGTTCTACAATGGGCACGTCGGACGTGGTCGTCTGACGTGCCGTGCTGACGTCACCCATGCTATTCAAATGGGTGACGTCAGCACGGTACGTCAGACGTCCACGTCCGACGTGCCCATTGTAGAACCGACTTACAATACGAAAAAAAAAGTGAGAAACGCGCGACGCAAACGCGAAACGCGAGGAGAAAAATACATGGCAATTTCTCGCGTTTCGCGTCTTACTTTCTAATTGTAGATACAGCTGTAGAGGCAGATTTAACCTGCCTCTACAATACGAAAAAAAAGTGAGAAACGCGCGACGCAAACGCGAAACGCGAGAAAAATACATGGCAATTTCTCGCGTTTCGCGTCTTACTTTCTAATTGTAGATACAGCTTTAGGGTGAAGTCCCATGGCAGCGTTTTGCGTTGCGTTTTGTAACTAGGCAATGAGTGTGAGAGAGATGGAGATATATGTTTGCTATATTTGCACTCATGGCCTAGTTACAAAACGCAACGCAAAACGGTGCCATGGGACTGCGGCCTAACCATTTGTTAGAATTTTAAAAGTTAAAATATTTATTTGTTAGAACGGTTAGAATTATTAAAAGTTCGAATGTTTATTTGTTAGAATTTCCAAAAGTTGACATGCAGAATTTAGGCCAAAACAAGGCGTCTCTTTTTATTGAACGAACCCATAACCCAAGAACCATTGTGGATTGACCCTTATCATCCACTTTGCGTCCATATTGGATTTCCTCCACCAAACCTAAACTACCTAATTGGATGATGTTATTAATCTGCGCACCCTGACTTATATCTATATATGTCACTAAAATTCATTACAAAAACAAAAATATTCTCCACTTAAGGTTGGGTTTATGAACTTTCAATTTTTATTTGCAATTGATAGCAATGTTTTCTTTCTTACATAAGTTATCAATTGGAAGGGGAAGAGGTAATGACTTGACATCTAAAGACATGAATGGAACAGACGATATTTTGAATAAAAAAAATCCAAATATCATAAAAGATGTAACTGAACTCAGGGAAAATGTTTACGGTAATTTCTTTCTTTTTTCATTAATAATTTAATAATTCATTTTCCTTTTTTTTTATTTTCAACCATAGTTAATTAGTTGTATTCATAATAAGAGTTTTTTTGTTATATATATATATTAGTAACACAAAAAAAGATTTAATTAAATTTGCGTTACTTTTCTACTGCAAAAACTTGTATTATTCTAATTTAAATAATTGAATTCCTGAGAAATTACTATTATTCATGGAAATAATTGAATTCTTAGGAAGATTTTTACAAAAATTTTTTTAAATAATTAAATTCTGTCTGGAAATTTTATGAAAATAGTAGATATTGAAAATAATTGAATTGTTTAAAGGCTTTTAAAAATAATTAAATTTTACAAAGAATTATGTTCAAATTTTTGAGAATAATTTAATGCCTGTGTGTCATTTTATTAAATTTTTTTTGAAAATAATTGAATTCTTGCGAACGATTTTATTGGAATTTTTTTTAAATAATTGTATTTCCAAGAAGAAAGTTATTACTTTTAAAAATAATTGAATTCTTGTGATGAATATTGTTATTTATGAAAATATGTAATTGAATTAGAATTTTAATATTAAAATGTAAAAGAATAATTGAATTATTTTAAACAACTTTAATTAAAATTGTATTTAAAATAATTGAATTCCTGTGAATTTTAAAAGAACATTTTTTTAAATATTTCATTTTTTCGAAGAATTCAAATATAATTTTTAAGAATAATTGCATTTTTTGATCAATTCCTGTAAAATTATATTAAAAATAAGTGAAATCCTGCGATGAATTTTATTATTTATGAAAATTGAAACGTTACTGAGAATTTTATTAAATTTTCAAAAGTAATTGAATTTCTGAGAAGAATTTTATTATTTATGAAAATAATTGAATTATTGCGAAAAGGTTTATTGAAATGTTTAAAAAGAATTGAATTTCTGTGAAACATGTTATTTTTGAAAATAATTGAATTCTTGATAAGAATTTTATAAACATTGTTTTAAATAATTATATTTTTCGAAATATAATAAATATTATGAAAATTTTATTATAAATTATTGAATTCTTGTTAAAAACTTTATTTTCTTATAGATTTGTTACGAAATATAAAAGACCCAGAGAAGCCTCAGACCTTAGAAGAATTGGAAGTAGTTTACGAAGATTGTGTGTGTATTGATGAAACCACACCGAAAGGAGTGAACGTTATTCGAGTAGAATTCAACCCCACGGTGCCCCATTGTTCCCTTGCTACTCTCATTGGCTTGTGCATTCGAATAAAATTGGAACGAAATTTAATAGCTTTCCACAAGCTCGATATTTACATCAAGGAAGGTGCTCACGCAACAGAACAAGAAAGTGAGTTAAATTTTATATTTTGTTTAACTAATACGTATTTTATTTCCATAACTATGAATCTTTCTAAAAATACATCTACATTCAAAAAGTAGAATTCAACTTTTTATGATGATATACACTCTAAAATATGATACATACTTAACATTCGTTCTCATTTTAGTCATGTCTGCAAAATTGAAAGAATTAAAATTGTAAACTTGCTTTTTATTTCAGTAAATAAGCAGATTAACGACAAAGAAAGAATAGCGGCTGCCATGGAAAATCCTAATTTACGAGATTTAGTTGAAAAGTGTATTAAAGAGGACTATTAATGATGTTGTTCAATTTGTATATAAAATGTATATATATGATCAATTTTTTATTATTTTTTTGAGAGTTTTTATAAATTTTAGCAATAAGGAAAGAAAACGTATTATAAATATATTCTAAACAATTTTATATATTGAAGAATTTATTACCTCTCCAATGTCTAGGATATCACATTTTTTGCTTTATGTCTCGCTTCACGGTGAAAAGGACCTATCTTCCAAAAATTTATTTAGGACACCTATAAATGTTTTCCCTCTAATCCACGAAAGTCTATTAGAATTTGTTCAAAATTAAACCTCAAACAAAAAATTTTGTTAATTTTCTAAAAACATCAAAAAAAATTTTTTTTAGGTAAAAATCTATACTTTAAAATGAAAATATTGTTTTAAAAAATTTAATTAAAATTGCATTTAAAATAATTGATTTCCTTCGAACAATTTTATTAAAATATTTAAAAATAATTGAATTTCTGTAAAAAAATTGACTATTTTTTAAAATAAATGAATTCCTGTAAAAAATTCTAATATTTTTTAAAATAATTGAATTCATCCAAAGAATAAAAAAAAACATTTTTTTAAATATTTCATTTTTTCGAAGAATTGAAATACAATTTTTAAGAATACCTAATTACATTTTTTTTAACAATTCCTGTAAAATTATATTAAAAATAATTTAAATCCTGCGATGAATTTAATTATTTATGAAAATAACTGAAACGTTGCTAAGAATTTTATTAAAATTTTCAAAAATAATTGAATTCCTCAGAAGAATTTTATATTATTTATGAAAATAATTAAATTATTGCGAAAAATGTTATTAAAATGATTAAAAAGAATTGAAATTCAGTGAAAAATTTTGTTATTTTTTAAAATAATTGGATTTTTCATAAAAATTTTATAAACATTGTTTTAAATAATTACCTAATTTTTTCGAAATATTATGAAAATTTTATTTTAAATAGGTAATTGAATTTTTGTGGAAAACTTTATTAGTGAAAATAATTGAATTTTTCGATTAATTAATTTAAAATAGTATTAAAAATAATTGAAATTTTTCGATGAGTTTATTATTTATGAAAATAATTGAATTATTGTTTAGAATTTTATAATTTTTTTTTTTATAGTTGAATTTCAATGAAAAATGTTATTATTAGTGAAAGTAATTGAATTATTGTAAAGAATTGTATGAAAATTTTGTTAAATAATTGATTTTTTCAAAATCTTTTCGAAAATGCTATTCTAAATTAATTGACGCCTGTGAAAATTTTATTATTAATGAAAATAATTGAATTTTGGATGAATTTTATCAATTTTTTTTTGAATAATTGAATCGTTTTAAAGAATTTGATTATAATTTTTTAGAATAGTTTTTTGATTTCTAGTATTAGCGAATTTAAATTAGTGTAAATTCTCAAGAAAATAGTAATGGTAGCTTTCAGTGGCTGAAATCTAAAAAAAGTAGCCAAATAGTAGCATAACGTAAAAAAAGTAGTAAATAGAAGGTTTTAGTAGATGATTGCGAAGCCTGATAAGGAGACAAGATTAAAAAAAATTCTATTATTTCAAGTAGGATATGGATACAGAATTAAAACAAAATTCAGATATTTGTTACACTTTAATGTTAATATATATTTTATCATAACAATGAACATGATGAATATATACTTTGCGATGTTCACAATTAACTCTCTCTTCGGTGATATTGTTCTTAGTTTATTTCAAGATTGCTATTGTTTATTTTCAGGTGAATTCAGCCGCTCATTTAACAGCTAATCGTACAAATTTCTTAAGAATTACTGTTTTTTGTACACTTTATTTACTATAGCATTAAGGTATTTAATTTATACAGTAAGGATTATTTCGAACCAAAAACTTTATTCCTTATCTACTACGTAGACATAAGGAGTATATTGTTTGGTTGAAAATTATGATTACTGTATGTTCGAAACACCTCTTCCAGCAAAACGTTCAATATCTATTATTTATTAGTGTACTGACTAAACTTCACATCGCTTCTTAGTACAAACATCAATGGCGCACATTACTCTATCAAAAATTGTCTTTCATTATAAAATGAAGCCAAAGAAATTCATTTTTTTAACATCTGCAGGAAAATTGGCAATTATCTTGCATGTAAAAAGGATGTGTCAGTTTCTTATACCATCGAGGAGTGTGTAAAAATGTGCTTCATATTTATAATGCACGTACGAAAAATTGTCCATTGCACGAGTCTAATATCTGCAAAATTTTAATATCTTACAAAAGTAAAATTTCATTTTTCGCACGTGCATCAAAATATCACTTGCAACAAACATCTCTAAAGTTTTTCTCATTGTTCGAAGATTTTTGGGATCACTAATTACAAGAACATCAGATTTTAAAAATTCAAAATGGCGGATCCAATATGGCGGACTTATTTCAATTTGACAGTTTTACATTGTCACTGACGTGTTTTAAGTTTAGTTTAAAAGTAATTCAAACAAATTGAAAAAGTCATATTCGATCAATGATTTTGGATTTTTAAAACCTCTCCAGATTCGAAATTTCTGTCTTTAGGAAATGTTTTATATTTTTATTCTTTCTAGAGATAAATTATTTTTTATTTGTAAACTTTGGTACAAACACTGTAAACTCTAATAAAGATGAAAAATTTTTATTGTCAATAGTTTGAGTTTTTCATCTGTCTTCCATTTTATTTTGAGATAATACAAATAGTTAAACATATTGCACAATATTTGGAAAACTAACCAATCTTTTATTTAATCGTATTATATGATATAATCTCGTTAAAGAAAAAAAAATTTTCTTTTTGGTCACAAGTCGAGAAAATGTTGAAGTTTGCGAAAAACTTATATGTTTGCTCAAATTCCATATTTTTAAGCAAAAATATAAATATTGAAAGTCAGTAGGTGTTTTTTCATAAATTTTGTCATTCAAAGTCAGAAGCAGTGACATTGATAAAATAGAAAAAAAAGAAAAAAATTTATTTTTAGAATTGAGTCTTTATTAGGCCACTTTTACACACAATTTTCCATGTGTAAACTACACTTTAGAGATTAATATTGCAAAACACACTTTGTTTGCACTCTTTTGGCACTTTTAGAATAATTTTTGCTGCAGTTCTATTTTCTATTTTTATACACTTTTAAACTGTAAACTAGGATCATGATGGAAAATATTTAGAAAATTAATTTTTCGCTTTTAAAAATAATAAATATTCATTTCTTTTCCTGTAGAGGTGTTATAAAAATTATCGTGCGTGCACCAAATGTGAGAATAGCATTTTCACTTTCGTCGAAAAATTGGTTATTTTCGTACTTGGTGCACAACAATGTAAATAAAACGAGTTCCCGATAAATTTTTGATTTCAAAGGGAAATTGTTGACATTTAAAAAAGTTAACCACAAGAAGAAATATAACACAGATCCTTATCTCTGGACTCCTCTAAGTGGATCGGGAGTAACGGAAGAATTTCGTACAACTCCTGAACTGTTGACATTTGCCGGTAAAATAATATTACTAGATTGTCCCTGATGATATCCACTTGCGGCTGGACTATGCCTAAAATTTAATGAGACATTAAGAATATTTTTAATTTCATTTTTTCACTTACTTTCTAATAACTTTTTTCATTTTACTCTTTCACTAGTTTATAAAGTTTTGTTGATAATGAATCATAAATATTAAAACCTATAGGATTTAAATATTATATTATTAACTTATAATAAGCTTTAATTCAATTCCAAGCAGGAAGTAATTAAAAAATTATCTTTTTTACTTTATAAATCTAAAATGTCTAACTGATGTCCGATTATAGAAAAAAGTGTTCGACTACTGAAGCTTTCCTAATTCCCCTTTTTTTTCTGATTTGTACCCTTTTTAACCTTTTTCTAATAAAAAATAAACAAGTTTTTCTTTTTTTGAAAGTGTAATAATAAAATTTAGACAGAATGCAGACCTTTAGAGAAATAATTAATTAACATTCAAATAATTCAAATATTATTATTAATAGTTTTTTCTAGAAAAACAAAAATTCTAATACAAGACCTTCAATTTTTTCCATTTCTGACAATAATTTCTTTTTAAATATCTTAATTCTTGAAGAACTATCATAAAATTATAACTTAGAAATAATTTAATGAATAATTTTCTTTATAAATTTCAAAATTAATTGAATTTTAAAATAGTTTCGTTTACAATTTTCATAAATAGATGAACTTGAAAAGATTTTAACTTCAAATTTTATAAAATTTCAATTTTGAATAAATTTCATTAGAAATTCTAAAGAACTTACATTTTTGCAAAAATTTTCAAAATTTAAATAATTCTGAAATTAGTTAAATTTTTTAATATATATATATATATATATATATATATATATTTAATTAATTATTAAAAATAATAAATTTATCGAGGAATTCTAGTTAAAACGACTAAAAAAATTTTAATTTTGAAGAAGTATAAAAAATAATAAAATTCTTCGCAGAAATTCAATTATATTTAAAAATTTAAAGAAATTCTCGTCAAAATTTCAATTCTCTTTATAAATAATAAAAATTCTTCTTCAAAATTCAATTATTTTCCAAATTTTTAATAAAATTCTTGGCAAAATTTCAATTATTTGCAAAAATGAATCGAATTTTTCTAAATTCAATTATATTCAATATCTACTATTTTAATAATATTCTCCAAAAGAATTCAATTATTAAAAAAAAAATTTATTATAATTCTACGCAAACGTTTAATTATTTTCATAAATAATAAAATAATTTCACAAGTATTCTATTATTTACAAATTTTTTATAAATTTCTTCGCAATAATTCCATTATTTTCATAAATAATCAAACTCATCGCAGAATTTCAATTATTTTTTAGTATAATTTTAGTCAAATACCACGAAAAATGTAATTATTTTTAAAAATTTTATTAAAATTCGTCAAAAGAATTTAATTATTTAAAAATTTGTTAATAAAATTTTTTATGAGAATTCAATATTAAAAAACATTCAATTATTCAATATAAATTTTTTATTTAAATAATTGAATTCTAGTAGAATTTTCTGATAAAATTTAATTTTAAATGAATTTCAGTGAAAATGTTCGATTATAATTAAATATTAAAAGTATTAAAAAAAAAATTCACGCTATAATAATAGCGTGAATTTTTAGAAATAATTGAATTTTGAAAAAGTTTCAAATTGAAATCTTTGAAAATCTAAATTTTTCATATTTTTAACTAACAATTCTGTGGAAATAATTTTTTCAAAATGTTTAATTGAAATTATTTGAAGTTTTTATTTTCAAATATATATTTATTTGAAGAATTTCCGAAGAATCGATAAAATTTCGTAAAATTGAAATGTAAACAAATACATTTGAAAATTCTAAGAATTTTGTTTTAAATTATTGTAAATAATTGATTTAAAGAAAAATTTTAGTTAAAAAGTGTAGATCTAAATGAAATCATTTAGATTTTGAAACGTTGGAGTAAACTAATTTTTAAAAACTATTTGTCCGAATGTTTTCGTTTCATTCTCCTTTATTATAATTACTATTTCTCGGACGTAAAAGATTGATTAACAATTCTTCAAAATTATTTTCATCATTTCAATTCAATTATTATTTTCTACACTTTTTAACTAAAATTTTTCTTTAAATCAATTATTTACAATAATTTAAAAAAAAATTCTTAGAATTTTCAAATGTATTTGTTTACATTTCAATTTTACGAAATTTCATCGATTCTTCGGAAATTCTTCAAATAAATATATATTTGAAAATAAAAACTTCAAATAATTTCAATTAAACATTTTGAAAAAATTATTTCCACAGAATTGTTAGTTAAAAATATGAAAAATTTAGAAAAAATTTTCAAATCTAAAAAATTTTCAATTTTCAAAATCTAAATGATTTCATTTAACTATTTGTCCGAATGTTTTCGTTTCATTCTCCTTTATTATAATTTTGAAGAAGTTAGTAAAAATATTTTTTATAGTAAAAAATAATGATCTTATCACTCGGTTATCTTTAATGATTATAAAACATGAAGCAAGTGATCACTCCGAGTCTTCGACTCGGAGTGATCACTTTCTTCATGTTTTATAATAATATTCTCATAAATTGTTGAATTTCAAAAAGATTTAAATTTGAATGTTTTAAAAATCCTAATTGCTTTGAAAAAATAATAATGATTAAATATTTTTTTTAAAAAGAAATTATTGCTGTTTTCGAATAATTTTACAGTTAAAGAAATTTGTCAAGGAAAAAGAAAATTAAATTATATATGCAAGTTGTATAAACAAATAAATTTTTCTCTCCTGCAACCTGCCTTTTTGTCCCCTTTTTGAGGAAAAAAATTCCCCTTTTCACCTGCTTTTAGGAAAAAAGGTTCTATGATGCCTGTTTATTAAATATTCATGTACTTGTAATAAATTTTTATAATTTAAAATTCTGAATTGCACTGGCACTGAAATAGCGGATTCCGTACACTAATATTTAGATCATTTGGTACCAAAAAAAATTATTTCTAAAAAATTTTTTAAAAATTTTTCAAAAATGTTTTTTAAAAAAATGTTCTTAAATAAATTTTTTGTGATTAGACTGTAAAAATACACTAGTATACCAATTTTTAGCTCATTAGGTCAAATAATGTACAAGTTAGAAAAAAAAATTAAAAAAAAAATTTTTTTAGTTTTTCCTTTTCAACGCTATGGTCATTATAACATATCAAGTTCTCTATATTTTTCCTGTAATATTCGCGTAAAAATATACCAGCACGCACAATTTCAGCTCTCTATGTCGAATAGTTTAGAAGTTAAGGGGGGGGGATGGTCACTTTTTATGAATTTTTGGCCAAAAATCGTGTTATTTCCTTGACAACACTATGACCATCACCTCCAATCACATTCGCTATATTTTTCCTGTAATCTACGAGTGAAAATGCATATCTGGACCAAATTTGAGCTCTTTAGGTCAAATAGTTTAGCCGCTACTGCGCATGACTGCAATACATACAATACTATTGCGCATGACTCCAATGCATAACAAAATTATTGTGTTTGATGTTTATTTCAATATCCAAATCAAAACAAACAGTTTTCACTTTGACTCCGATATACTAAGGGTGTTTTCGGCAAATGCTCGGATAATGCTGCAGATTACTTCAGTGGTGCTCACTTTAATTTTTCAACATGGTTTCTGTTATTATTTGAATGATATGTTGTAATTGGTTACTTCCGTAAACTCTTAATTTTCATTGGTTCAAATATTGTTAATTGTGACAATGTATGAAATATCCCTTAGGTTTTAGAAAAAAATTTTCGAAACCCAACCTACAGTTTGTAGAATGAAAGATTGTTACCTTATTGCCGGACTAGGTTGAGGTGCAACCAAAGATCCTCTGTGTTGGTACTGGCTGTGAGACATGGACGTTCCAGTGGGTGGAGATGGGTCGGGAGGTAAACCATTTTCTAACGTGGATGCATGACTACTGGAATTTGAATGTGGTAAGTAAGCATTGCTCATTCGTGACTCGCGACTTCCTCTAGACATAGAAGTCACAGGTGCAGAAGGAACTTCAGAATGAGAGATATTGGAATGTGATGGATTCACTGATGGGTGTATGTTATTAACTGTAATTAAGAATAACAATATTCGTTTTACAATCCTGCTGAAATCTATTGAATGAAATGATTAATGATAATGAAATGTAAATGATTTATGAATGAAACAATTTATAACCTGAGTGTGTGTTTGATTGATTTGTTAAAGGGATTGCGAGCCGTGCATTTACGGCCAGTAGGTGATCCCTTCTTTGAAGTAGACTATTTACATGTTCTTCTAGTCTTAAATTTTCCGCCCTCAGTTGATGAAGACATGACAGTAACGACGCAACTGCAAAAACATTCGAATTTCAATAAAATTAAATAACTAAATATGGGAATATTTTGAAATAATATTCCGAATCGACTTGGAATACGATTCTGTAAAATTTAGTTGACGGATTGGCTCCATACTTACTATCAAAATGCTGTGCCTGTTCCATTAAAAATTGACTGCCTTGTTCCCACTGTCTTTCTAAAAGTTGATCGAGCGTTTGTGGCATTGTTCCACTAGTCAAGCCCCCAGCACTGTTCACATTAGAATTTGTACTTGTGCTTGAGAAAACTGATGAAAATGATGTTGGAGCTGGTGCTGGTTGAGTGGACCTTATCTAAAATAATTAATTAATTTCATTTTAAAAAGGACAACTCAATTTTTGAAACCGTTTAAATAAAAAATCACTAAAGTTCTTACAGTTGCTATCACTCGACTATGAAGTTGCGGTCCTATTAGATTAGTGGTCGAATTGTTTGCTTCGGTGAATATGGAGTGGGCCTCCAGTTCTTGCGAAAGCGTGTCAGACATCTTTTGTGCCATTGTAGAGGTGGGATTCAGTTGGTTGCCCAGCATGTGTGGTGCACTGACTCCATTTTGAAACCTAGAAGATTATGTTTTTAGTCATTTATCCCAACTTTATTTAATACTCATCAATAGATCACAAGTTTAAAATTAAAGTCACACACGAGTTTAAGTTTAATTTTAAAAAATGAAGACTTACAACTTGATTTCCTTCTCCTCTTTTGTATGATTGGCGAGAGTCGGTGTATTCGAAGCCGACGGCGTTGGAGTAGTGGAAGATGTGCCAGCGCCCTTTCGTTTTCTCCTGCCCGGGCCATTGCTGCTCATGCTCTCGGAGCCGGGACTGCTGGGCGGCGAATCCTTGACAGTGGGCCCCATAATGCCACCAGAACCAGTTCCCACGCTGCTAAAGTGACCAGTACCCAGCGTGGGACCTTGTATTATTGAAGGAATGGGAGCCACCGCCGCTGACGGTGGTGGTGTTGGATGGTTGTTTCTGCTGGTGCGCTTCGTCGTTGTCACGACTGTGATATTGGATAAGGATGACACTGAAGAAACTATCTGAGGAAGAACTGCTACTGGTGCCGATGTTGTTGCTGACTGATTGCTTGTAGAACCTCGCTTTGGTTTACGTAATTTTTCTTGCTTCTCCGATGATTGAGATCTAAAAAAAGAGATGAAAATTCACATGATTTTACTTAGAAATTAATGAGCAATTTTATTGTTCCTATTTGACTCAAGATTATAACTAGCAGCTGAGATCACTTAAACATTTCGACAGATTAATAATAACATAGTTTTCTCGCTATCGTATAACCACTGATACTCAGTTGAAAATAATTTTTTCAAATCTCTCATAAGATTCGAATTCATACACACGTAATACTATTCGCTTATAATCAGGCGCAAATGTCATTCATTCGTCCAATTCTGAACACAGATTTCACAGCATTATGTTTAGCAATAACGTATTCAAAGAGAAAAATGTACTTAATGTAAACAACCAGATACATAGTTTTTTTTCGTAATACAGAGGTAGCTGTGGGTAACTTCTTGGATAGTGTACCAAGAGTCAAGACCCGACTGTAGATAGAAAATCTCCTTCTTAAATAACTTTTGGCGAAATCGACTATCATAATTGTAAATGTAAATAGTTTGCGATATTCAAGACGCACCCTAAAAAAAGTAATCTTGATTTGAGGCGGAATCCTCTAAACTGAATGCACATTTTCCTCTTTTATATATGGTATCAAAAGTAATACTCTTCACTTTAAAGGATTTTCCTCTCGCTTATTATTTGCCAATTTTATAAACTGATAAAGAAAAGCTATTTTGATGCACTAAATTAAACGTCTTTAATTAAAGAAATATAATTAATGATTAATAGTTAATTACTTACATTAATTAATATATTTACATATTTGTTTATTTACTTCAATTGAATTCAATGTTTTTGATATCAGAACCTTAAAAAATTGTTTTCTTTGTATTATTAACCACCAAAGAATAAAAATATTCTGCATTCAAGTGGGATACTTTTGTTTTTAGAGGAAAAATTGAGACGATATTAGAAGAGGATTTTTCCTCTATTTATGAGATTACTGTTTTTAGGGTGCGATGTACAATGAAAAAAATGCAGTGTTTGGACGAAATTTCGAGCAAATGACCATGCGAACAAATGTCTTCTTGATTAACCCGGCGAGTATGTGACGCGAAACTGTTACAACCAACTATATGGCGGGTATAACATGCCCTGACTGTAAAATTGCCTATAAATGTTTCATATGGCTATATGAAGTTAATTTGTGGTATTATATTATAAAAAGGCATATAATAAAATATATTTCTTTAATTAATTATTTATTTACGAAGATATGTGACGCGATATGAAGAAAGGGACCTAAGAAGCCAAAAACTGTAGATTATGTTTTAAAAATTTGAATTAATAATAAACAAAGAGAATCAACTTTTAATGCAAGCCAATGATATTTAAATATTTATTAAATCTTAAATATTCAATAATCTCTTATTTTTTTTTTAAAAGAAACTAAAAGAAACTTTTAATCAAGGTAAATGTGTCGTAAACATAACCTATAACTCGTTTCCTTCTTAGGCCACTTTCTTCCTATCGCGTCACACATAATGAAGTCTTTGTCCTAAGATTTATCATACACGGAGAAAATTTCTTTCGTAATGATTACAATAGTCTATATTAGAGCTCGGATATGTGACCACTTTTTGTAATGATTACGAAAACTATGTAATTTATTAAGAATTTAGTAGGAGCGATTACTATAGTTACTTTAATGAATCCAAACACTGTATTAATCGTGTTGAAATTTATTTTTTGGAATCATTAATAATTTAGATGTACAGGTTCAGAAAGGGAACTGTACTCATTCACGCAGAGACTTATTATAATTACAATAGTCTACGTTAAAAGGAAGTCTTGGATTCTGTTCACATTTGCAGCGGTTTAAGGGAATCAGTGATACAGACTGTAGTAGCCTTTACAACAGAACTATTGTAAAATAAGGTGACCGCGGCTGCCTTGCCTTCTTATTTTACTATAGTACGTTATTTACGTAAGTGCAATTATTATTATTATTATAATTTATTATCAGTTATTTGCGTAACTTACATTATTTACGTAACTTATTTTTAAACGTATTATACATTATTTACGTAACTTACGTGATTAACGTAAGTTAACTTACTTTTTTATGTACGTAACTTACGTAAGTTGTGTAAATTATATAACAATTTATACAGGCAAGAAATCTTGTACCTTCGGTGCGTGTGTTAGAAAAAAAAATTTTCACTATGGAAATGTAATAAAAAATAGACCTTACAATATTAAAGACTAACAATGAACAATAATTGTATTAATTATAATTGCATTAATTACTGAGAACGAAGTGATTTTTTTACATTTAAAGTGTATAAGTCTTTCTCGCAAGCGGTGAACTTTCATAGCAGTTAGTATATAAGGAAGTTTAAGTCATGTATAAATATGTGTAAATAGCGATCGTTATTATGTTATGCGTTTAGTATTTAAGTTAGATTTGTGTACTAAGGGTTTAGTAAAATTGTCTAGTTTAATAATATAATTAATCTTGAAGTGGGTAGTCTTGGAAGAGTGAAATTAATGTGCAATACATGATTAGAAGTATAGTAAAATATAAGTAAATATAGTAAAATAAGAAGGCAAGGCAGCCGCGGTCACCTTATTTTACAATAGTCCTGTTGTAAAGACTACTACAGACTGTATCACTGATTCCCTTAGATTGCTGCAAATGTGGATAGAATCCAAGATTTCCTTTTAACGTAGACTATTGTAATCAGTCACATAGACTTTGTGCTAACTCATATTTAGTTCGTATTTATTTCAAATAAATTTTTAATGAGTACGTTCGACTTACAGAATTGTTACAACGAAGCTACTTTAGGCATTACGAAAAGTGGTCACATATCCGAGCAGTACTGTTCGACTATTGTAATCATTAACAGAAAATTTTTCTCCGTGTATGATTAAATAAAACATTTAAACTTTTTATAAAATAAAATTTGCACTTTTATAAAGGTAGGGCTTTAAACATTATAGAATGAGAAGTATAATGCTTTTACTGCAAAAAAAAAGCAAAAAATTTTGCTTTTACTGCTTTTTAGAATATATTACGATTCAGTTGTTTTTCGTTTTTTTAAAAATCTTGTTCCAGGAAAAAGTTTCAACTTTTTAAAAATTGTCATTTTTACGATTTTTTCGTAATCTTCGATATAAAAAATGACATTTTCATTCATTCATTGACACATAAAAAGGTATCAAATCTGCACTGAGAAAAATGGATATTAAGCTTTATTATCTAGATATTAATGGTCAATATCTAAGATATTGGAAAAAGACTTGTTCAAACATAACCTCACATTTACAGATTATACTTTTTAACATCTGAGATATTAATCCATAACATCTGGATGATATGCATTAGCATTTTTTCTTTAATATATAATATATAAAGATTTTTAATATCCAGTTTTCTCAGTGTGCTTAAAACTTGTTATTCGGGGAGGTTTTTAGGGTCGCTGATTACGAATATGTCAGTTTTTAAAAATTCAAAATGGCGGATCCAATATGGCAGAGGAAGTTTTAAAAATGATACAAAAAAGCGGAATGCTTTTTAAAAGATACAGTCTTGCTTGATATTTGTTACTAGAGGGTTTTTAGGGTTACCCCTGAGTAACAAGTTTCAAGAAAAATTATGTCATTTTAAAAAAAAATCGTCTACCATATTGCATCCGACATTTTGAATTTTTAAAAACTGACATCATATTCGTAATAAGTGGTCCGAAAAACCCCTATAAAGTTTTATTATTTATTAAAATCCAAAGAATTTTTTTCTGCATTTTAGACACTTTCTTTGAAATTGTAGCCGCAGTCAAGGGTTTAATGATTTTCTTTTTAATATTTCACAAAAAAAATATAGAATGTAATATTTTTGGTAGTGAATTGGAAAAAAATGAGTTATCTATTTTCTAAATTGACAATGAACGAAATCGTACTAAGGTACGAATTTTGTAGGATGCAATGTTTGAAGAGTAAATTTGAAATGTTTCTTTATATCAACTAACAGCACACTAGACTATATGTAGGCTATCTAAATATATGTTGTATCAGTTCCCGATCAAATGTCCGGATGTATGCATATGAGAGTGTGTGGGTCCCGTTTTTTGTGAACACGATAACGTCGATAACAATGATACGATAAGAGGTTTTAAACGAATTTTGGTAAAAATTGCTAAGCTTATTTATCATTTGTGGTATTAATATTTCAAATCTTAATAAAAAATTCACTTTGTTATTAATAATTTTTTCTTTAGGGGTCGTCCATAAACCACGTGGTCAGTTTAAAGGGAGTGGGACGTTCAGTAAAGTTTTACTTTTAATTTTATTTGGGGAAGGGGTTCAAGTTATGAGAACGTAGAGATTCAAAAGAATAGATTTTGCTATTTTCAGGATGTCTAGCGAATTATGGTTTTCAAATTCCAGGAGCAAAAAACAAACTATTCCCGGATTTATTTTTTAAATCATTAATACTTTAATAAAGAGGATTGAACAAACTTTTACGTTCGAGTTGATTTGATTATAGAATATTAGGAAAATATTGACTTCACAGTTTACACATGTTTAATTTATTTTATTTTAATGGTATTTACAGTGCAAATTGTTGAAAATGTTGTTTGTTTATTATTTATTTATTTATTTATTTTGTGTTGTTCTTATTTATTAAATTGTTATTAATAATGGATTATCTTTTCTGTTGGTATGTTTTTTTCATACCTATTTCATTTCTAATGCTATTTTATTTATTTTTTAATTTAATTTCATTTTATTTATATATTTTTAATTCTATTTTTCTATTTATTCTTAATTTCATTTTCATTATTGCTTTTTATTTTCTTTACTATAATTTTTATTTTTTAATTTAATTTTTATTAATTAATTTAATTTTTCTATCTTCATTATCACATTTTATTTAGTATTTTAAAATTTCAGTTAGGTATCTACTAACTCCAAATGTTAAACTAATTTTTCGCTAAATTTTAATTCCTTCGACATGTAATGTAAAACTTTTTATTTACTAGTAAGGTATGTTTACTGTTTCT